TTACCAGGACTGCCATACGCAGGAGGAGGCATGGGGCTACAATGCATGGTTTCCTGTCCAGATCTGTAGGATTCACAGTGAAGGATGTGTGTGTCTCTCTGTTCTTTGTTGTGCTACTTCCTCTGGACCTTTGTGTTCTGTTTTGGATGCAAGACATCAGGTTCCTACTTGATGGTAGAACAATTGAGGTAGATCAATGGGGGCAGTTGGAAAGGTCTTACTTACCACAGGCCAATTATCTTTAATTGATGTGTGGCCAAGAAGGGAAATAGAGATTCTTTTGGGGTGTGTTATCTGCTCAAATTAAGCCAAGAAAATTAAGAAAAAWTTTTTTTCTTTTGGATTTTAAAGAGTTTTTTAAAAAATTATTTTAAAAAGATTTTGAAGGGAATTTAGCCTTTTGCCAAATATGTTTCAAAGACCTTATGCTGTATCTCTTTCATCTCTTGACTTTGTGGGGTGTGTGCATGTGTGTGTGTGTGTGTGTGTGTGTGTGTGTGTGTGTGTGTTTGCTGATGCACAATGTGTGACTGAATTTATTATTATTTTCCCTTGGTTTCTACATTTTTGTACTTGTTTAGAAAGGGCTACCTAGTTTAAAAAATGCAATTTGTTTCAAACATTTTAACCTTTGACAGGATGATTCTCAGGTCTGACTTTCTATTTGGGATTTTATCTCAGATACGATTTGCTTTGTGCTGATCTGTATTTCATCTTTAAAAGAGAAATGTTAATGTCCAAGTTTCTGAGTTCTTGGGTGCTCCCTCACTGTCACCATGGTGGACCTCAGTGCAGAGTGGGGTGAGCTCTGCTTCTCAGTGGAGCCTGGCTTGGGCAGACAGGTGTTAGAATCCCAGATCACAATCATGAGAGGAAGTGCTAGCCAAGGGGAGGTAAGCAAAATTAGGAATGCTTACCTGGGACAGATTTAAAAACTCTGGAGAAGATGTGGCTGACAGGTCACCAGGATCTATGCTGGCTCTTACATTCAGCCATTTGTCCACTCATTCACCCCAAGGTGTTTCAGGTCAGCATGACCATTTGCCAGCTGGTGCTGGCCATGTATTTCTGGTGACAGTTCCTGCCAGTGGTTAGCACTCTAGTTCCTAGCCCAGGTATCATCCTTGGCCTCCCCTCCCCTAGGGCTTCTCCATCCCAAAGCCCCTGAGCCTGGCTCTTTGGTTCCTTGTCCTGCTCCTAATCCATGGGGTCATATAGAGGGGACCTGAGAGAAATGGCCATGGAACCACTTTGAGCTGGTTCAGCCCAGAGCCCAGAAACAGAACAATATCAGGTATGGAATGAGGACTGAGGTGCTTCTGAAGAAGGCTGTGGCCTCTTGGGGCTGCAGGGACCCCTGCTCAGAGGGGCCCTCACTTGAGCAGMCACACAGGGACTGGCTGACCTCACAAAGGGGCTGCAGGGGTGCTCCTCTGTCTGGGAAGTGGAGTCACAGGGTAGAAGATCCCTGAAGCCTAGGCCCCAACTGACTCTTGACCTGAAGCAGGTACATAAACTGAGTGTGCTGGTGGCAGAGAGCAGTTGGGGACAGCAACCAATAAGCTCAAGTCCTCGTCAGAGATACAAATACCACGTGTGGACCAGGGCAGTTGGCACAAAGGCCAGCACCCAGAACTTGACCAAGAGCTTGGTTCAGAGGTGGGTCTGTAGTATAGCTGTGTAAGAGGTTCTGAGTTGCCTTTGGGTAAGCTCCAGGAAAGCTATCCTGAGATCAGGGGATAAAAAGACTTACTGCCAGAGCTAGCTGCTTGAATCTCAGCTTTATCAGAGCAGTATTAACCATCAAGCAAGAAGCCAGACAATGAGATGGGGCAGGTTAATAGCTTACAGCTTAGGCAAGCAGGGTAGAGGTGGACAGATGACACTGCCTGGAGCCTGGGTTGCATCCCCTTCCTCTGTTGCATCTGCTCTCTGATGATGATGGGGTAATGGGGAGCATGATGGGGTTTTGAGCCAAGTGGTCCAGTAGCCAGAAGTGCTTTTTAGAAGTCCCCTTATCTGTGGGTGTCTGAATTGTGGATAGTACCATATATTCTTTTCTCTATAAAGAAGTAACCAGAATAAAGTTTAATTTATAAATTAGACACAGTAAGAGATGAGCAACAGTAATAAAATGATAATTACAACAAAATATTCTAATAAAATTATTTAAGTTATGAATTATTTATTTCTGGAATTTTCCATTTAATATTTTCAGGCCATGGTATGGGTAACTTAAACCAGTGAAAGTGAAGCTGTAGATAAGGGAAGGCTGTTGTATACTTTGATTCATTTATAGGACAGATGCAAGCAAGTCTGCCTGTGCGCAGAGTCCCCCTTGATAAGCCTCCTGCACAGACAGTTGATTTGCATTTCTCAGGAAGAGGATACATGGGGCCAGAGTGGTGTCACCAGAGGATAGCTCAATTAAGGTCTTCTGAATATTCCAGCTTCATGTACCACATTTATATTTAGTGCCAGAGGGGTATCAGATGTATCTTGGGGTTTTTCATCACATCGTACATCCAACCTAGAGGTACTCTGCTTTCCACTTAATCTTCATGTATTCTGCCTATGTCTCTTAATATATTAGCTTGCTCATTATTTATATTTAACATATCTTAACCAGTTTCCCCAGATCTTAGAAACTACATCCTGATTTATCTTCCGTAGTAGAAATGGATATCCACAAAAACAAATACACATTCCAAGTTGTGATCTACAGATGTATGTCTGTTAGATTGAGGTATATTTAGCAGTAGGGTGAGAACAGGCAATGAGTCAAGAATCGATGCTTCCATAAATAAAGTAGGCATTTGCTTGACCCCTTTATGAGTTAACGGGGCTACTCATTATACCCTCCGTGGGGATGTGAATGATTAAAAGAGATATAATACACAGGTCCTAGTAAGCTTCAATGATAGTAAATAGATCTGAGTACTACTACCAATTAATTGACAAGAAAAGGGAAATATTTGGGATTCAGTTCTGAGGCCTGTAAAGAGTCAGGTGAGAATTGCAATACATGTCCCTGGGAGAATATAAAGAATTTAGAGACCACATTCTCCTTGTTGGAGTGTTTTTGTGCTATCTGTTCATAAGGGCCTCATATAGATAGGCACCTTCCTTGGATGTAGAGGAACTTTGAAGATGAGGAGATGGGATTGCTCAGCAGAGAAGAAAATGAAGTGGCTGAATGAATGGAGGTATGGATCCTTCCAGAAAGGAAATACAGAAAATGGGAAAAAATGTGCTGAATTGAGATTGAAGATTTCTCGTTCACCTTCTTTTTTGGAGAAGGAAAGAGAAAAAAAAAAAACGTAGAAGCCAATTACTACTAGGATCTGTTTTTTTTTTTTAAACCCACATAGCACTTCTGACACTCAATATGTAGGTTGTCTACACCAAGCAATTCTCCAATTCTCTGTGGGTACCAGCTCGGTGTACAATGATTCAATTTAAGCCTGACACGACTCAGAGTTGGTCTAAGACACCACCAACTTAAAACGCAAGTTCCACGTGACTTCAAATGCCAGTCAAAAGCAGAGGGTCCCCAGTTCACCCACATTTCAGTCCAACTTGGTTACAACTCAGGCTAAGTAATGTCTTGGTCCATTTTCTATTGTGGTAACAGAATATCACAGAGTGGGTATGTTGTAGACAATAGAAGTTTATTTGGTTCACAGTTCTAAAGTCTGGGGAGTCCGAGATTGAGGTACCACATCTTGTGAGGGCCTCTGCTGGGTCCTAACATGGAAGAAGTGTTGGCAACCATAAGAGAGAGAGAGAGAGAGAGAGAGAGAGAGAGAGAGAGAGAGAGAGAACTTCCTTTTATAACAAAACCACTCCTGCAAAACTAATCTGCTGCAGTGATAAGGACATTAATGTATTCATGGAGGGAGAGACCTCACCATCTAATCACCTTGGGAAGGTCTCATCTCTTAAGACTGTTATAATGTCAATTAAACTTCTACATGAGTTCTGAGGGAACTTATTAAAGACAGAGATGAACATGTATGTATCACATTTATATTTAGTGCCAGAGGGGTATCAGATGCATCTTGGGGTTTTTCATCACATCGTACATCCAACCTAGAGGTACTCTGCTTTCCACTTAATCTTCATGTAGTCTGCCTATGTCTCTTAATATATTAGCTTGCTCATTATTTATATTTAACATATCTTAACCAGTTTCCCCAGATCTTAGAAACTACATCCTGATTTATATTCCGAGGTAGAAATGGATATCCTAAGAAAATTCCAGAAATAAATAATTCATAACTTAAATAATTTTATTAGAATATTTTGTTGTAATTATCTTTTATTACTGTTGCTCATCAGATGAAGAGGCACATAGGGCAAGGAAGAGAGGAGTACCTATTGTTTCAGGCTCTTTCCTAGTGTGCCACYCTTCCAGCTAGATCCTCTGTGTACTGACCAGCCTGGAAACTCTCTGAACCCTATCTTTTTGGGTTTCTATAGAAGCTTCATTTCATAGGCATGATTGATTAAATCACTGATCATTGGTGAGGGATTCAGTCTCCATCCTCTTCCTTACTGGAGGTCAAGGGTGGGACTGAAAATTCCAATCTGTTCATCACATGGTTTCTCTGCCAACTACCCTCCAACCTGAGGTTATCTAGGAACTCGGAAAGAACCATCTCATTAGCATAAACTCAGTTATGGCTAAACAGGGCTTGTTATAGATAAGACATGCACTCCTATTAGAACCCTATGACTTGGGAAATCCCACTGGTTTTAGAGCCTTGTGCCAGAAACTGGGGATGAAGACCAAATGCATAATTATTATTATATTACAGTATCACAATGTTAACATAAGTTCCTTCCTTTTAGCTCATAGCAGTGCCAAGAAGAGTTGGGGTGATTGGATTTCTGCAGACATAAGGCAGTAGCCCATCACCCCCCACTCTAAGTCCACATCTGACCCAGCCCTTGAAGAACAGAAAGACCTTGGCTTGTGATACCTTGACTGAGGCACCATGGCCAGACTCTGCCAGGCCCTGCTGCTCCTGATGGTCACTGTGGCCCTTTTGTCCAGAAGAATCCAAGCCCGGGACTCACCAAAGATTATAAGAAAATTCCAAAACATCTCTAAATCCTATGTTTACGTGCAACAGGCGCTCTGGTATGCCATGAAAGAATATAACAAGGCCAGCAAAGACTCGTACTACTTCAGGGCGGTGGAGATTCTAAACTCCCAAGAGCAGGTGGGTGAAGCATTTGTTCTTTGCTGTTTCATTCCCTGTCTTCAGCCAGAACCTATTATCTATAGATAGTTATTGCAATGAGAAATAGAATACAACCAAGGGACCAACAAGCTATATTTTATACCTTATTATTCTGAGATGGATTTGAAACAAAATATTCATTAAGATAATTTAAAATTGATTATAGTTACATTCCAAAGTAGAGGTCAGAGCCCAGAAGGCAGCTTTAATGGGACCAAGTTTGGGACAAGTTGAGCATCAGCAGCATGAGTAACCACAGGGATGCATTATAACAAAGTGAGCAGACTGTGACTTGGAGTCCAACTGATGCCGTAAGAATAAACCTGGAAGGCTCTTTACAGAAAAACACCCATTCATAGCAGTGACAAAAAAGACATAAGTAGAAAAGTACCTTTTGAAACCATCACAATAATAACCAATTCAGGCAAGATTATCAGTGAATCCTACAACCACTGGGTGAGAGTGCTGAGATGAATTGTGTGGCAAGGATTGCTTATTATAATTGTGTTTATAGCAGCATCACCACAGACAGACACATGAACAATGAGCTGAACCATGACCCTATGATGACTACAGCGTCGCTAGGAATAGGAATTTTCCATGCTCATTGTAATGTTACAGGATTACCTTTGTAAGTGCACACCATTCTGTGGTGTATGACTATAGTTAAACAAAGGGGCAAAAGCTATCCTTACAATCAAGACATGGGCTGAGTGCCTCCCTTGCCACATGTTCATCACCAACACTGGGGCAAATTGACATCCCATATCCACCAATGTGATGTGCTGAGAGGGCATGATCTCATATGTACATTGTATTCCTGCATAAAAAAGTGCCCTAGATGTAATTATGAGAAACAATCAAATCCACAATATGGGATATTCTATACTCAAGAGATATTAATGTCATGGAAGGGGGAAAAGCTGTGAAATTGTTCTCCAGTAAAGGATGCTTAGGAAACATGATAACCAGTCCAATATTATCTCTTGAATATAAAAGAAAAAATGATGAATTTTATTTGGACAACTGAGGAAATTTGAATATGGACTATGTAATATAAAAGAGACTTATATGAATGTTAAATTTCTTGAGAGAGCTGATTGTAATGTTGTTTGTTAGAAGCCTGAGATAGGGTGCAGAAGAGCATGCTGAGGGAATGAAAATTAGGTCATTCCTGATTGGATTTCGAGGAATAAAGTGTGGCAGAAGTAAATAGAGTGGTGACACTGGACTCAGCTCACAATGTCACTGACCTGACATGCAGCAGAGAGACTGAAGGTAGATAGCCAATAATCTCCAGTGTATTATGTTGCTAAGATGGGAAGTTTGGTTGGTTGGGTATATTAAATACTCTTTTTCAACTTACAACGGATTTATAAGGATGTAATCCTGTTGTAACTCAGGGAACATCTGCATAATTTGAATATAAAGCTGTGTTTCTCAGCTGGGAATGGTTTGCTTCACCAGAAGATTGTTGGCAATACCTAGAGATGTTTGTGGTTGTTATGATTGAAGGTTCTGCTACAAGCATCTAGTGAGTTGAGGCCAGGGATGCTGCTACTGGACATACTAGAATACACAGGCCAGTTCCCAAACTTCAGCCCCCAAATTTCAGTGGCACTGAGGTTAAGAAATTTGATCTACAGTCATAGAAAATTTCTAGGAGTACATTTGAAAGTTGTTGAATTAAAATATGAGAGCAGACTCAATTTCTTGCATTTCTATTCTGGCTCGTTGTTGCTGAGGGCACCATAAAAACAGTTGGCTCTGTCATTCTGCTATTTGTTATGCATTTATATACATTACTGAAAACTTTAAAAGTGTGTTTTATATTCATGCAATTATAGTGTTGCACTGTATTTTTGCTGCTTAAGATGTCTTGGAAATCAATAAAAGTGTACTTAGATTTAACTCATAATTTGCACTGTATCTTAGGTAAAAAATTTCAGTCATTAGRTTTGTTGATAGGAAAACTGCAACAATAAAAATCCCTATGCACACATCACTAGGATATGCACTCTGGATTTGAATTCCTTGTTTAGAGAGTCATTTGCAAGAAAATGGCAAATTGACCCTCAATAGGGCTAAATCAAGTTTTAAATTAGTATTTATTTTATGATATTGGGGATTGAACTTAGGTTTCTCATTCATGCTATAGATCAAATCAGTTTAATTGATTTTTGCCAATGCTGCAGGTCTGAGGACATCTCTTGCCTGTTATCACCGATAGTAGATCTCATTTGTCTTTCAGATGATTGCCAATCTGATGGATGCAAAAATAACATCTTGTTTTATTTCTCTGTACCATGAAGAGTGTCTTTTATTGATTTCATGGGATAATATGTACTTTCTTTGATAATTTTTCTTTTTTGCCTGCATTATTTGTCTTGCTCTTATGAATTAGTAGTTGTTCTTTATATGCTGTTCAAATTAATTCATTGTTTTTATATATACTGCCAATATTTTGCACTTTTCTTTTTCTTGTTTGTAGTTTGATATTATTTATAGGGTCTGGATTTTTGAAAACATATTGACATAGAATTTAATTTTTTATTCCTTTAAGTTTTTTGGGTTTTCCATGAAAATAGAGCAAAGAGTAAGTGAAGTAACGGAAGGAGATTGAGGGGGAGGGCAATGGGATTGCAGAAGGAAGGAAATACACCATGAAACAAACACAAATATGCTGTGTCCATATCTAAATATTTACCAAATATATATATATATAAATTTATACCACAGTGAATTCCACCTTTATGTACATCAATAAAGCCCCAATTAAAAGATATAAATAAATAGAAGGAAGCCCAGCAGAGTACATAATATGTAAAAGGGGTAAAGAGGAAGCACTAGGGACTGAAATGGGGATAATTAATTCCATGAATACAAAATTATGTCAGTCTGATCTCCACTATTTGAGTAACTGTAATACACTAATAAATATTCAGGCCTAACTAAGTGAAATAACAACCAGTTATTAATTAGTAATGAATGCTTTTCTTTTAGAAATTTATTAAATTAAAAACATTTTCATTAAAAAAAWTTTTTTTGAGTTTTTTGTCTCAAGAAGTCTTTTTCTATTTAAAGTATAACTGTTGTAATTCTTCTAAGACATTTATAATTTTTAAATCACTAATCTATCCTGCATTTATTTTTACTTATAGAACAGGCACTAGATCTAACTTTTACATTAAAAAAAGGTCAATTGTCCCAAGTCTCTTTAGTAAAGAGTCTCTATGTTTTGAAAAGCCAGCACACCATAGACCAAATATTTAAATATATTGAATTTATTGTAGGATTCTACAATACAATTCTCTTCCCTTGATCTGTTTATCAGATCTTGGGCCTGAATTAGAATTTTCTATGGAGTAGAACAAATGATATGGTTTGAATGTGTCCCCACCAAAAAAAAAAAAAAAAAAAAAAAACAAAACCACAAAACAAAACAAATATGTTGGAAACTTAATCCCAGTGCAATAGCACTGGAAGGTAGGCTCAGATGTTTGGTGTTTCCATCATGATTGGATCGATGCTGATTATGAAAGGGCTTGAAGCTGTGAGTGAGATGGCTTGCCCTTACTCTCTTGTGCATTCTTTTGCCCTCTGATGCTCACTGTGAGTGGCTCTCACAGTGAGAAGGCCCTCAGATGCAGGTCCTTGGTTGTGGATTGCTCAGCTTCCAGAATTTTAAGAAATAAATATCTATTTTTTTTAATAAATCACCTAGTCTCAGATAGTCAATTTTAGCAGCACAAAACAGACTAAGTTCTCTATGTTATTCTTCTTTTGTTATTAACAYGTGTTGTATTCAGAGTTTCACTGTGACATCTCCATACATGCACATACTGTGCATTGATCATATCCACTCTCCTTTCTACTCTCTCTTTCCTTCTTTGGTCTCTCCACTCCCCCATCTCTCTGGTCATTCCCAAATAATTTCTATTTTCAGTTTGTTTTTTTCCCAAAATTTCCAAATATGAGAGAAAAAATGTGATACTTGTCTTTCTGCTTTTGGTTTATTTTGTTTAACATGATGTCCTTTTAGGACCGGAGGTGTGGCTCAGTGACAGATTATGTTCCCGAGTACTTAGCATGCATAACTCCCTGGGTTCAACCCCCAGCACCAAACCAAACCAAACCAAATCAAACCAAACTAACCAAACCGAACCAAACCTAACCAAACCAAACCACCTTTTGGTTGGGATTTTGTCTTTCAATATTACATTTGGTTGCATTTAGCAACAGTATGTCCACTCTTTGTTTTTTTCCAGAAAAGATGTTTATTTATTTTTTTTGTTTTGTATTTTTTGATACCAGGGTTTGATCCCAGAGACACTTAACTACTGAGCCACATCCCCAGCCCCCTCCCCCCTTTTTAAACTTTTTATTCTGAGACTTTTTATTTTTCATTTCATTTGCCTTTATCCTAACCCCAGGTTTAAAAGTCTCATATGACGAGGTCAAGTTCACCAAGTTAATATCCTTATCCATCTTAAAGTTAGTTATGCTTTAAAAGTGAGTGAAACCTGCCATTTTCACAGTCCTAAGTATCTTACAGGGCAGGGACAGCAAGGGTGGGGACTTTGGGGGCATATTAGAATTCTGCCTGCTAGGCTCATTTTATTCAGTGCCTGGGCAACTTTCCCAGAATTTCTAAAATATCTATTATATTTTCTTATTTATCTATGATTGTTTTGGGACTAGTTACTGTTTCACTTGGTCATTAATATGTTTTCTCCTTTAAAAGTCTTATAGACCTTGTTTTTCTAGTTGAGTCCCTCTTCTTTTCCCCTGGTTTTTTTTTTTTTTTTTTGGTAAATATTGGTGCATTATAATTATACATAAAAGTGGAATTTATTGTGGTATATTTGTACATAGACATAGTATAATTTGGTCAGTTTCATTCCCCAGTACCTCCTCATGCCTTCTCCTCTTTTACTCTTTCTTGATCCCCCTCCTTTATTGGTCTCCCTTATATTTTTGTGAGATACCTTTTTTATCCCCCCCTTTTTTTGTATGCATGAGAGAAAACGTTTGACCCTTGTTTTTTTTTTTTTTTTTTGAGGCTAGTTTTACTTATCATGATATGTTTCCGTTCATATCCATTCATTTGCTAGCAAATGTCATACTTTTATTCTCCTTTATGGCTGATGAATACTCCATCATGTATGCATACTACATTTTCTTTACCATTCATCTGTTAAGGGGCTGGTTCCATAGCTTGGCTATTGTGAATTGCACTGCTATAAACACTACCATGTGTGTGTAAATATAGTATGCTGATTTTAGTGTTTTTTTTTTTTTGATAAATACCAAGGAGTGGGAGAGCTGGGTCATATGGTGGTTGTTGCACCTTTCTCAATAATAAAAAGCCTATATTTCATGTTGCATAACTACATCTATCTAAGAAGGCCCTCCTTGGGTAGAAGGAGGGTTGGCTGGGGGCTCAGTGCTGGTAGGATGTCTAGGAAGTAGGGCTTTTAGAGGCTCCATTACATGGACTGTGGTATGGATTACTGAAACTGACAAAAGATGGAAGGTCTTAGGAAAAATCAATCCACTCTGAAAGTTTCAGTTCTGGAACATGTCAATATCCCCTCAATATTTATTGATTAGGTGTGAAGATGAAAAAACTGTTATGTATTTCTTAAACCTCAATAAGTAAACTATTAGGTTTTCCATGGGGATTTTTTTTTTGTGTGTGTGGGGAAAGATAGTTTTCTTGCTTTATCCTGGGGACTGTTGCCATTACTTTAAGATTAAATAACATAATGAGAAAGAAAGAGATATAAAGGTAAGAATCCCTCCAAATTATCCCCAAACTTCTGGAAAAGACATGTAGAAGAGAGGAAAGACATGGAGACATTCTTGCCCTAGGCAGCCAATTGGCATGCTTGTTTACCAGAAGTGATAATTGATACCGTTTTCTTTTTTGATGTTTAATTTTTAATTACTCATTGACAGGTAACAGATAGTTTRGAGTACTATATTGAAGCCAAAATTGCCCGAACAATGTGCAAGAAAACTTCAGGAGAAAATGAAAACTGCTTATTTCAACAAAATCCTGAAATGCAAAAGGTATGTGGCCGAGACGAGGGGAGTGATAGCCCTAGTTAGATTTGTGTACCAGGCGAAGAAAATTGACTAGACTAATTCTACTTTATTTTCTAGTTCCCTTTTCATTGCAAATTTATTTATTTGTTCACTATGGTGAGGATCRAATCCAGGGCATCTGCTAGGCAAGTGCTTCACCAATGAGCCACATGACCAGCCCTCTAGTTTGCATTTTAAGCCAAGTTCTGATCATATTCAGGACCTAGGACAGCCAGGTTCTAGACCTGGAGCACTGTATCTATGATCTGTTGTTACTTCTAACCTCCTCCACCCCACCAATACACACACATACGTACACACCCCCCCCCACACACACACTAAAAGCAAAACCAACTCAATATTTCTCACTATTTTGCAATCTAGGTTGAGTTGTGCTGTTCAATTACTCCTCCCCCTGTGCTGTGGTGTGTGCTGGAGGAGGCATGTCCCAGATGAGTGGTTTGCTCACATCTGGTAACAGGGGATAAGCAAGTATGTCTCACACTGCTCAGATCTCTTGTAGAGTGACCTGTTGTCCTGTCCAGATTGAGGTATTTCCTGGGATATGGACCTTTCATTGCTAACACCAGGGAAATTTTAGCCAAACCAGTAATGTCCTAAGGAAGTTTGTATTTTAAAGAACTTCTAAGAATAGTTAGGCAGACCCTGCTACAGTACTGATAGAGAAGCAATGGATGCCAGCCATCTTGGTAGATTACCTCTTCCAGGCATGACCACCCCCAGTCCCTAAAATACTTGAGAGAGGATTTGTCTCAGTGCAGGTCTCCACAAGCTTGGGAACACAAGGAGGAACTCTTGAAGGATACCCATAGTCCAGCTGCCATGTGAAAGGGCCGGAGGCTGTAGATGGCCTTTTACACCAACTTGGCTTCCTGTGTCAGTCTTCTGCTTCTTAGCATTAGAGGTGAGGGACAATCCCAGCTGAATCCAGGTCTTGTGCCCAGATGGAGACAGTCACAAAGGGGCCATCCTTAATCAGACATTTCCTTACTCTCCTCATGTTTCATTGGCAGGGACATTTTATATCTAGATTTAATCCTTTTAAGCAACAAATATTTTCTAAAAATGAATTCTTATAAAAATATAAGAAATGAAAGTGATGATATGCCTCTTTGGGCCCTTGATGTTGTCCCAAATGACCTCTGTTCAGGAGTTTCCAGGGATATATACCATTTGTGTAGACAGTCTCAAGATTATTGCACTATCAATGTGCCTATATGGATAGAGCTTTTATTCTCTTTCCTTTTTTTCTTTTTAATAACTGCTGACCTACACTGTATTTTGATGTGACTTTCTTTTCACATTTATCTTGTCAATCTTCTCATTGATTATTTTCAATTTTTCACTTATATAAGTGAAGCTGCATTGAAAATCTTTATACACATTATATTTCTGTGCCTTATGTAGTTTTTGCATATTTTGCATATACCTAAACTGGCACGAGATATGGCTAGGCATAAGTAATAGAACATTGGTGCTTGCCCAAGACTACTCAGACATGCTACAATAAAAAATATTTTAATGAATAGTAAATATCACAGCAGGATGCCAAAGTTCAAGTGAATGGCTGCATCTAGAGAGTGAATTCTTGTAATCAGCTATTAGAAATAGCTTTAAAAAGTAATGCTTTAAAAATTTAGGTAGGTACTGAGAATAATATATTAAATACCCATGTGCCTACCACACAGATTTCACAACTATTATCTTTTATCAGATTAATTTTAAATATTTATTATTTTTATTTTTAAGATAGATCTTATTGTTTATATTTAAGGTATCTCATATGATGTTATAGGACATACATAGATAGTAAAATGGATACTATCATGAAATAAGTAAACATGTCCATTATTTTACATATCCATTTTTCTTTTCATGGTATAAATAACTAAAATAAAATAATTTAGCAGGAATCGCAGATAAAGTTTAATCTTAAACTATAATCTTCACATTGTACATTAGTTCTCTAGACTTGTTCACTCTACATAGCTGCTATTTTTGTAACTTCCAACCTATGTCTTCCTATTTTTTTCCCTGCCTCTGGGTAATCATTATTATATTCTCTATTTCCGTGTATAAGTGATCATTCCAATATTTTTCTTTCTGTGTTGGACTTATTTATTTAGAATGTCTTCCAGATCCATACATGTTGTGAAAAATGGCAAAATCTCCTTTTTAAAGTCTAAATAATATTCTATTGTCTTTATATTCCAAGATTTTCTTACCCATTCATCCATTGGTATATACTAGCCTGTTTTCATATCTTGGCCATCGTGAATAATGCTGCAATAAACACAGGAGTTCAAGTGTCTTTATGAGGTAGTGATTTCATTTCTAGAGATTACTGGGTCATCTAGTAGATCTATTTTGAATTTTGGGGGAACCTTCATACTGTTTTCCATGATGGCTGCACCAATCTACCTTCCCACCTACAGCATACAAGGCTCTGTTTTTTCCACATCCTTGGCAGAATTGGTTGCCTCCTGACTTTTTTTTTTTTTTTTTTTGAGAGAGAGAGAGAGAGAGAGAGAGAGAGAGAGAGAGAGAGAGAGAGAGAATGTTTCAATATTTATTTTTCAGTTTTAGGCGGACACATCTTTGTTTGTATGTGGTCCCGGGCCGCACGCATGCCAGGCGAGTGCGCTACCGCTTGAGCCACATCCCCAGCCCTGCCTCCTGACTTTTTGATAGTTGTTATCCTAATGTGTGTTATTAAATATTTATTTAAGAGGAAAAATGTTATACATCTATTACACTTTCCCTCTCAAAGATAACCAATATTCCAAAATTAATGAGTAATATTCTTATCCATGTTTTGAAACTTAAAGAAAGAAAACTATTTATGTAGGGTCTTTGTATGTTTTTCAAAATCAAATGATTTTGTAAGTTTCTTTTTTTTTTTTTATTCCTTATGCTTTCAGATCTATTTGTGTTGGTGCAATCTGCTAGTATTTATTAAGCCAATAATTTCTTGGATCGATTGATATATATGAACATTGTCCAAATTAATTTTTATTACTGTATATTAAGCTATCACATGACCATGTGACATTGTATTTAGCTATTTCCCTATTTTGGCAGCTTTTGAGTATTTTCAGCTTTTCACTTTTAGGAGCAATGCAACTTCGAGAGTCCTGCTGACAGTCCCAGGGGTGAGAATCTCCCCAAGGATGAGATTGGGAGTAGAGTTTGGATAAATTCAGTGTTAATATGATTGGCCACACTTTGCTGTCCAAGGTGGTTAAACCAACACATTCTATCAGTGGTATAAGCCACAGATCATTTCCCCCTTTGCCTTGTCTACTTCTAAAATTGGTGTTAGGGTCATAAGTTTTTCTTATGTGCATGTGTGAAATGTCATCTTCTCATCATTTCACTTTGGGTCTCCCTGATTTTCAACCAGATGAGAAATGTGTTGACATTCCTAGCTTTTCACTTCTAAGACTTGAAAAGTTTAATATACTTTTCCCTGGGGGAATCAGATGGCCTTTAACTAGAGCTGTAGCCTTAGGTGGTGGAGGATCCTGTGATTCCCTGACCTCACTCTCCTCCTGGCTCTTCCTGCTGTTATATTCTCTTGACCAAACCCACCTTGAAGCCAGAGGATGCCCACGACACAGAGCATAGAAGTCACAAGTCAAGGGTGCCCATTGCCATGGTCATAGTGGTTAGAGATTGATGTCACCCCTTTGAAAGATTAGAGGGCAAGGGTACCTATTGGTAAAGCCCATAGTAGTCACCCTTGAAAGAGAGAGACAATGGACAAAAAGTGTCTCAGGGCAGAGGCGGAGACATGAGATCAGTGTGAAACCCTCAAGTCTACTGGAATACCTCAGCTGAGAGATGACATTGGTTGAGTTGGTGTAGATAATCAGGTTCTGGATGCCTATGAAAGTCTTGGTCAGAATTTAATGATGCATTGACAATGGCACACGAGAAGGGGAAAATCAAGGATGAATTCAGGTCTGAGGGGTCTGGAGCGAGTTTACTGTCTTGGTTTTTGTTACAAGAAATCCACTTGCATCCCCCCCCCCTTTTTTGTCACGAGGTAGTTCTTGTCTGTCCTTACCCTTGTATATGAGCTTTTCTTTTTCATCTACAGAGCTGCTGTAGATTTGAACTGAACTGTTTCCTTGGGCTATGTATTATATTGGGATTTCAGAAGGCTAAACATCTGGGATCATTGGAAGATAAATTTCAAAGCTTGATAATATTTTAAGTAGCTATTAACCTAGAGAATTAATATAGAATATTTTGAAAATTTAAAAAATATTAAATATACTGAAATCAACAATATCCTTATTTAATGCTTACCACTGTCAATGTATTCTTATATATTCTACTTTTCTCTCCCATTTTTGGTACTGAGTATTGAATCCAGGGCCTTGCGCATTACAAGCAAGCACTCTACCACTGAGCTCCACCCCGGCTCATCTATTTTATATTATGTTTATATTTTGGGTAGTTAGTAGCATAACAAACACCGTTTCATAAGTCTAGCTTTTTGTTTAATAATAAAAGCTAAGTACTTCCTAAACTATAAAATTATTTGAGATCATAATGTAGTGAAACTACCTGATTTCATTTTATGGGGCTTCCACATATTATTTAGACAATTCCCAATGAATGAGTTACTTAAGTTTTCCTCCCCACCAAGTTTTAACTATTAAGAACATTGTGATATTTCTATGTGTGTGTGTGGAAAGCACCAATCACAGATGGATAAATGGATGAGTAGGAGGAGTATCAGTGGAGTGCAGGGGGTTAGTCAGGAGGCAGCAGTGAGGAGAAATAGGGACTGAAATGGAGTGTGTCAGATTCCATACATGTATGATTTTGTTGGTATGAACCCAGCTACTACACATAGCTATAATTCTCTACTAAAAAAAGAAAAAAAATACATAAACAGAACAGTGTAATAAAAATACTCTTTAAAAATTCTTTTTGTGTGTATATCTAATTATTGTTTCCTCGTAGGCAAAATTTCCAGAGATTGAATTATTTATGCAATGCTTTTCTACATTTTAAGGACTTTTAATATACATTGCAAAACTACCCATAAGGACTGGTCTTGATTATTATTTTTTTTAGCTCTTCTCCCTAGGCTGGTCCAGAAATTATTCAGTTAGTTAGTTAATCCTCTGATAAGTCCAGCATTCACTATCTCCCATCCCACCACCAATTGTGCTTACTGATACTGGATGTTCTTCTTCTCCCTCTGTACACTACAGAGAAGACTCTGGTCTTTTATTGCCTGTCTGGGTTGCTTGTGGCTTGTCTTATTTTACCTCTCAAACTGTTCCTCTACCTTTATATCTTGTACAACTTTACCTCTACTTGATGCTGCCATTCATGTTCACCTCGATGTCTTGCCAATATTCTTTATATTTTCATTCTAACTAAATGAAGATTTTAGGAAAGATAAGAAGAAAACAAGTGTGCTCATTCCCATCATAAGCCTGAAGACCCAAATGCTCTTCAGGATTATGGGACTAGATCTATGTGTCTCTTCCCAGCTCTACAGCTACAAGCTTTTATTTTATTTTTTAAATTTCTGGTCAAATTTTGATCCAGCTTTCTGAAGTATGCAGGATCCTGTACTCTCTCCTTCTCCTTCTCCTCCTTCTACTTACCTTCTTTTTTTTTTTTTGTAGTAGGGATTGAACCCAGGGCTGCTTAACCCGAAGTCACATCCCCAGTCTCTTTATTTTTTTAATTTTGAGTCAAAGTCTTGCTAAGTTGCTTAGGGCTCTCTCTCGGTTGCTGAGGCTGGCTTTGAATTTGTGATCCTTTTGCCTTAGCCTCCTGAGTCACTGGGATTACAGGCTTGCACCACCATGCCTGGCCTCCTATACTATTCTTGTAACATTGGTTCCCTAGGGTAGGATGGAGTGGGCCCTCAATGCAGCATGGGGTCTCCATGGGCTACAGGAAAGTCAGTGTGGCTGAACACAAAGATTTCCAAAGGATAAGTAGTTCCTGGTCTCAGGCCCTTGCTCTCCTTGAGCAAATAAAGCCACACTTATGGTGTCTCAGATCACAGGGGCATGAATTAATGAGGACCCATTTTACTGAGTGAGGCTGGCACTTCAGCCTAAGGTATACAGTCTGTGGACTCTGGTGAGTTTTGTTGATTCAGACAGCATCTTAACTTTCCTGAGGCAAATTTTGGGCCTGGAAAATAGGAGAGCCTATTTTTTTTCTCCTTTTCCCATTTGTTTTCATACCAGCTAATTTCTCTCTCTCTCTTTTTTTTTTTAGGTGTATTTTTGCACTTTCATTGTTAGGTCCAAGCCATGGAAATTCGAACTCAACATGCTGAAGAAACAATGCAAAGATGTCTAGCACATTCTGCCACACTCAGTTCCATTTTAAAGAAGTAAAGGCACTTGCAAGACATTTGAACACCACAGTTGACTCCTTGACTTCTTTTTGTGGCCTTTTGCTTTTTTGTTTTCCAGGGGCTAATGCTGAGAATGTGTGATGGTTTTTATAGGATGGCAACTTCATCTATTAGCAGTGACAATCTACAGCCAGTAAAATAGCTGTTTCTACACCTCACCAAGCTCTAAATACAAATTACCTTTCACTGATGACTTTTCCTGGGAAATTACTCTCAATTGCCTGAAGCATGGTGGATATTTCTGTAAATTTCAGAAAGTCTGACTACCAGGAGAGTGACTAGCCATGGATTCCACAGAAATCTCCCTGCCCAAGACCAGAGCTCAAGGGCTTAGGAACACTTGGTTACAAACCCAAGAACAATTGGAAGTCCAGAATGGTCTATTTGGAGATTTGAGTTGGTTTCAAGTTGAAGCAGGAAAGTTCAAGAATAATTTAGGTGCCTGGAGAATAAGCACTCTCTCTCTCTCTCTCTCTCTCTGTTGGTGTGTAAGTATGTGTCTGCAGTTGGATATATCAGTTATCTAATTCTGTAGGAGGAATCAGCTAGACATTTAGTGGCTTAAGCAATCTATTTATGCATCTCATGATATCTGAGAGTCAGGAATCTAGAGGTGGCTGGGTTTGGCTGAGTGGTTTTAGAATTCACCTCTCATAATGTTACACTCAAACATTCACTATGCTGCCATCATCTGAAGGTTTAATTGTCTCAAAAAATCCACTTTCAAGATGGCTTATTCATGTGGCTGCAGGTTGGCAGTGGTTGTTAATCAGAAGTCTCTGTTCTCATCCATGTGGGCCTCTCCACAAGGCTTCATGAGGCTTGATAATGATGTCTGGCTTCATCCACACTGTGTTCTCAAAGACCAAGATGGAAGTCACATGCCCTTGGTGACCAAGCTATAGATCTCAAACTCCATAGATTCCGCCTTGTATTATTGGTCACTGAGACTCAATGTGGGAGGGGACTCTAAAAAAGCATGAGAATTACGGGAGGCCATCCTGGAGCACATCATGACGTGTGTGTGTGTGTGTGTGTGTGTGTGTGTGTGCGCGCGCGCGCGCACTTGTGCATGCCTGTATGTATTCATGTGTGAGCTGAGCTGGTGTGGGAGATAACATGAGCAAAAGGAGTCACTTTCCAAAATCTAGTGATGGAGACTATAGCACTGGTGTGTAGGTGGAGGCCAGGTAGAGATAACACTGAACAGGGTCAGGTTCTAAATTAAACATGGGAAAGAAAGAAGATAAAGTTCAGAGGCCACCTGTACAATAGCCCTCCTCAAAAACAAAACATCTTACTCAGAACACCTCTGCTCTTATCTAGCAGAGTCAACTGCAGCCATCTGAGCCTCTGCCTTAGAGCTTTCTCTGCCACGGAGGGGCTGGCTTAGGTGTCAAGGAGATACTGGTTCTGAGAACCTTCATCCAATGCCAGATATGGGAGGATTAAAAATGCTGGCCTTCTGACCCCTCAGAATATAACCTGAGGGTATGCTAACCAGTCTATGAGGAGTGTCAGCAAGATTGAGTGCAGGTCATTCCCATTGTTCACTATTGCATGCTGCTTCTGTTCCTTCCTGTTTCCCTATATCACTGCCCTTCTGATATTTTCTGGAGTCACCACTAAATAAGGCACTTGTACTTGAATTTTTATATCTAATTTGTCTTCTGGAGGACTCAACCTAATTGTGGAGCCTAGTTATATTGTAAGGGGAAGCCTGTGGCCTCCTGGGGCTTGCCTGTGTGAAGTCAGGCAGTGAACACACTTTATCTGCTCTTCCTTCATCTCAGTCAGCAGATGTGTTCTGGGGAGGGAAACTCAAGTGGAACTCTTCTGTATTATGCCTGACCTCAGTCTCTGTTCACCCCAGAGTTCTGAGGACATTGTCAAGGCAGATCTTATCCTATTCTTTTTCCCACTTCAGGTTAGAGCTTTCTATGTAGCTACATGCAGTACCTATAGGTTGCAACTTTTGCTCACCTCTGTCCTTCAGCTCCCAAGGACTGAAACCTATGCTTCCAGGGCACTAGTTCTCATTTGGTCCTTAGCTAAAGTTGGCCCATCTTACTTGGTACTATGACCATATATAGAGAAGGACTCTTTGCTGAAACCTGAAATGTGGTTGAAGAACTGGAAACATCTGGGCAGTTCACATGCCCTGGGATATGGTCATTTATAATATAACCCAAACACCTGTGGTTTGGCTTGGGGCCAACCAAACCTTACCACCCATACCCAAGTTCAACTGTGTTAGAATCTACAGTGCTTTGCTTCAGGTTTGGCTATTTAAAACCTCATATCCCTGTGGACCCATTAAATTAGATAAAGAATTGGGATCAAAACTGTTCTATTTACTTAAAAAAAAAGGTTTTACTTGTATTGACCCACAGCTGGCAACATTTTCATGTGAACATAGAGGTACCTGAGAGAAATTCAGCATTGGCTTCTTGTCTACTAAGGTCTCATTAACCTCAGTAACACCAAGGAAGATGCACCAATGGATTCCCATCATTCACACACCCTTATGGAGATCTTGCTCTTTGGAGGACAACATGGATGACAGAAGTATTGGTTTTTGCCTTCATGTCATTCTTTTTCCTTAGCTCATAATTTTGGAAAAGAAAAAGGAGAGGATAGAGTAAAAAAAAAATCGTCTTACATGAGAATGTAAATTAGAATAACCATTATGGAAAATTGGGTAGAACTTCTTAAAAAAATTAGAAATATGGGCTGGGAATGTGGCTCAGGCGGTAGCGCGCTCGCCTGGCATGCGTGCGGCCYGGGTTCGATCCTCAGCACCACATACCAACAAAGATGTTGTGTCYGCCGAGAACTAAAAAATAAATATTAAAAATTCTCTCTCTCTCTCTCTCTCTCTCTCTCTCTCTCTCTCCTCTCTCACTCTCTCTTTAAAAAAAATTAGAAATAGAACTATCATGTTTTCCAGTAATCCTGCTACTCTGTGTGTGCACCTGGGGTAAGGGGTTGGGTAGAATGTATGTGGAAATCAGTATATCAAATATCTGCACTTGTGTGTTTAGAGCACTATTAAAAAACAGAAAAGATAGGGAATCAAACCTGGGTATCTATCAATAGATGAATGGATAAAGAAAATTTCAATATATACATACAATGGATACATTCAGACATAAAAATATCTCACCATTTGTTTAACATAGATGATACTGGAAGACTTTTTGTTAAATGAGACAGGTAAGGCTCAGAAGATAAAAACCACATGCTTTAATCAAATATGAACCTAAATGTTGATCTCAGAGATGCAGAGGTAGAATAGTGGTAACCTGGGGCTGAGAATGGTGGAAAGAGAGATCCAGGGAGAAGCCAGAGCTCCAATCCTGCAGGATGTATTGAGACAAAAGGGAAATCTGAGTCTTGATTTCCTAAAGTGGAAATTTGGAATGTGCAGAAGTCATCCCATTTAAAGAGTGGTCCTTGTGCATGTACTGTGAGAGCACCTTCCCCTTTCAAGGCTCTAACCCACCTGCCCATACTGTGTCAAAGAAAGCCTTTTAGATTCCAAGATGGCGGGCCAAAGGGAGTCAGCATCCTGTGTCGCTCCCTGACCCAGGTCGGAATACTGCATCTCAGAGAGTGTAAGAGGACCCCTATACAGCTGATTTCCTCAGAAATCACCAGAGCTGTGACCTTTGTGCAGTGTTCAGAGCCTCAGTGTTCAAGTAGGACTCCAGGCCCTGGTGCCTGAAACCCAAAGCCTGCGCAGTTCTAGCTCACCCATGACTCCCAAGCCGCTTAACAGAATCACCTATCAGCACCTCTGCAGAACTTGGGACTGCGCTCTGCTCCCACACAAGTCACTTGGTGACTACTTACCCACAGCACAACGCCATCGCCCAGCTCCCCCCCACCTCACCAGACACCCCGTTGCTGGAAGCAGACCAACTCCATCTTGGATAACCTTTCTCGCCATATTTGCTGGGGGCAGCTCTCAGCTCGGATCTCCATCTGGCCAGGTACCAGGTATCCAACTCCCCCTGGCCCCCAGCAGTGACCTTGGCACAGTTACCACTCAACACAAAAAACAGCTCCCAGATGGGCAGGTGTGCTGTTTGACCAGGGCACCGCCCACCTGGTGTGAGCCTGATTGTAAGAGGGTCCCGCAGGTGGGAACTGCTAAATGAGAGGGGATGGGACTAAAGTTTAGAGCCTAACAGAGAGACCAGGAGCTGGGAAATCTCCAGGCAAGAGAGGGAGACAATACTGGGAGCTCAAGTCAGATGAGCGGACCCATGTCTGTTTTAAGCTGGTTACCTACACCATCCTGAGGGCAGAGACGCCAGCTTAAAACAGACAGCCCCAGATGAGAGGAGAAACAGAAAAGAAATGGATCTCTAAAATTAGCAACAACCCTGGTTTCTTCTTTCGAGTATTTTTTTTCTCTTCTACCCCTCTATCCTCTGGTCCTCATATCCCCAACATATGTGAAACCAAGAACTTTGCATATAGAGATGTTGTATATGCCTTTTTTGTCTATTCTTTTTGTTTTCTTTTTTCTTCTGTCATTTTTCTTTCCCCCTTCAAATTTTACTATTTTAACATATTGTATTTCTCTAAATAAATATGCAGACTTGTTTTATGTACTCTACTATCTTCCCACATACTTGTCTACCCTAAATTACTTCCTGTCTATTCTCTTGCTACTAACCCTCTTCATTAGATTTCTCTTTCACATTTCCTAAGATATACTATTCTATACTCTTACATCTTTCCCCCTCAGCACATCATCCTACACCCCACCCTAGTTTATTGTCCCCTGTAAACCTTTTTATGAAACTACTAATTATATTTTAGATAATAATTGAATTCAACATTTCTGTACATTGAGACTAAACTGTAAATGTATTAATATAACAAATTGTTCATAGGTGATATATTGTTGATATTGGGATCAGCTAATATT